TGTTTTCAGCTGCCTAAAAATTTTGGAGGCTAGTTTAAGCTGTTGTCTTCTCCTTCTGTAGAAGGACGCTGACTTCTCTGGCAATGCCTCATCTCATGGTAAGTCACTCACGTTGGCTGTATAAATTGTCTGAGGAAATGCAGATAGGGAAGACCAAATGTCTAGGTAAGTGCGGGTGAACTCCAAACCCCCAATCTTGGAACCAACCCACAAGGGCTTGAGAAGATGGGGTGGGCAAGGGAGGAAACGATCCTGGTTTCCCCGATGTGCAAGTCTCGGAGGCAAACCTGATTTTGGGGAAGGTGTTTAGATGAAGGGAGGGATAACATACTTCACAAATACAAGAAGTGTTACCTTTGGGATACGTTGGTCGAAGCCAGAAAATTGGAAGATCCCTGCAAAGCTCTAAAATTTTGGGGCTTAGGAAGCTGTTATGCTTGATAGGCTCATCTGCAGCCACCCAGATAAGGGAGTTTTCATCAAATCTCACAGGCATGATTTCATCTTCCTGCAAATAGAAGAGCATAAATCCTTTGCTAGCTCAGTGAGCAGTCATGTGCCTGCTTGCTGTTAATTCTTGAGCATCAAACTGTAATCGCCCGTTGCAGCTAATACCGAGCATCCTTGTATTTCATGAATGTGAACCAATTGTACTGAGCCAAAACCTGAGTAAAGGTTGCCACCACTGAAATGAATGGCAAAACGTCTGTCAGCTTTCTTGGGGCCAAGATTTCACCCGTCTCTCCCTTGGAAGGCTTTTGTCCCATGTACAAGGACTACTGGTCAGAGATCTCAGCCCAAAGCGCCAGATTTTCAGGTGGTAGAAACTGTGAAGATTTACCACCTTCAGCAGAGCAGCAATGAAATATGCCAGCTAAAAACAAGATCCTAATCTTTTATCATGCCCCATTTTCATTTGATGTACTCCCAAGAGAGAACTATATTTACAATAGGGGGAAAAAAAAGTCTTGTTCAAAAGTTTTAGAGAGAATTATAGCTTGAGAACTGCTCCAGCTTCCAGTGTTAAGTCAACATGATCGGTCTGATTAAAGGTCTCGTTTGGTAAAAGCAATTCAATTGACCAAAAGCTTGAAGTGCGAGTTAAAGGAGCTTGCTTTTTTGAAGTGTACCCTGCAGGTTTTTGGTTCGTATCTTCAAAGTAATGTAGGAAAATGCCAGTGATTGATTCTTTAAAGTTGTTAGTTCAAAGTATTATTTTACATAAAATGTGTAAGTATTTTATAGCAACAGTGAAGTATTAAAAGAAAACCAACTTGTGAATCATGAAAACCAGTATAATTTCAAAGTTAAAATTCTAAATTGCTTCCGTAAGTCATCAAAACTTGTTATATAATTGACTAGATCAATTTATGCCGTTGAGTTGCTGTTCCTTTAATGTGTTTATTGTTTTCCTTTGTAGGTTTCAAGTCATTTAAGTTCGCTTTCCAATCTGCCTAGTGAGAAGTGCTCTTTATTTATATTCTCCCACTTAAGGTTTTATCAGCATTGGAAATATCTGCATCTAGTTTTCAGAAATAAAAATATCCTTTGTTTCTGTTTGCGATGATCCTGACTTGTGAGCAGGCAGTTTGGGTATCTATAAAAGCTTATTTTAATCAACCATTTTTTATAGGCAGTGTTGGTTATGATACGTGTTGTAAGAAAATGGCATATGCATACTTTCGCCTAAATACACGTCTTATCAGAGAGGGGATTTGCTCTAGAAAAATAAATACTACTTTGCCATTCCCGTCGTACATCTAAGCTGGAAAGTCAAGCAACAGGGAAAGGTTAATATCCCACTAAATCGGCTGCTTGTTTTGGCCTCAGCACATACAATTTATTGCAGCAGTTGTGTTGGTGATGCATCTTTGGAGAAGACACACAGAAAACAGGACAAGGAAACAGGTTTACTGTAGCCAGGTAGAAGATTAGAAATAACTTTTGACTATTTTAGGATACTGTCTTCAGGACTGTGACTTTATTATTACAAAAGATGAAAAATTGAAACCTTGACCTTAGGCAATAGTGCTAATGAAGTCAAGAAGCCCAGCCTGCCTTTAAAATAAGGCAAGGTGAGAAAGATCTAGGTCTCTGCCTGGAATTTGGGCAAGATCTCCTCCCCGTCATGGGGAAGATCCCACCAACTTCAGGGGACTTTGTAACAACTCTCGTGCCTTGCTGATTGGATTTAGAGAGACCTTTTTTTCCCCTTCATTTTGAAGTAGGATGTTCAGTAATCACAGCAGTGTTGCAGGTAGGTGCAGCCTTAACGGTGCCTCTCTCCCAGCTAATTGTATCTGCTTTTATTTTCTCGGGAGTGGAGCAAACCCAGGGAAAGGGCTTTTGGATCTCCTTGTGCTCTCCTGCTGGTGGCTGAGCCCCCGCCAGCGTCCAGGCTCGGCTGTACTCAAGTCACCAGAGCCACTCTTGTGTGAGTGATGGGTTTGGGGGTCTGAGCTCTGGGAAACTCAGGCTTTGCACACCTAAAGAGATAGGCTTTTTTACAAATGTGAGGTAGGGAGACATTTTGGTGGTATCTGGGTGAGAACTGCAGCTTTTGTGGTGGTTGCAATGCAGATTCCATAAAATTTAGTTAACACAATGTCCTAAAATGAAGTCTGATGCCGTCTAAGGTGGCAAATTCTTAATTTTTTTAAACTATTCTTCTGAGTTAGCTGAATTTTTGCAGTAATGTTTTCCACAATTCCCCTTTATTGACTATTTTAGAGGACTTGAGTAATGGAGTCCCTGCTTCTGCTCAAGAGTATTGATAGAAATCTCCTGGGATCTACCACGATCACTCTTTGCATTGACTAAAGCAGCTGCTTCTTCCATGCTCTTCCTTTCCAGCCTTGTGCACAGCCTGATCTCAGGCAGAGATGCTTGTCATTGAGGTCTCCTATGGATCTGCTAGGCATTGGTCTACAGCTTCCCCCACACCCCAGTCTGCAGAATCCCACCGTGACCCTGGACGCATCTCTTGACACCAATCTTTCTTTTCTTACCTTTCAGGGACCCCTTGCAATCGGTCAATGAACCCTCAGCTCTCCACAGATGACTGCTCACTGCAAGGGGGTTGGACTAGGTGACTTTAAAGGTCCCTTCCAGCCCAAACCATTCTATGATTCTATGACTTCTTCAGTGGTTTTCATATGTCATTTTTATTTGTATTTAAATACCCCTTTAAGTCCCTCTCCATACAAAGATTTGTTTTAAAAAAATAAATAAATAAATCCCCCCTTACCAGCTCAGATGAGAGGCTCGCTTTAGTCATAGCATCAACTTCGGGGACGTGAGCTTTTGGCTGAGCTTTGATGTAACACTTCTCTCCTTCAGCAAAACGGATTCCAGTTATGCCCTGCAGAAGCAGAAGGCAGGGGGTTGCGCGCAGCCCTCCAGCTCCCCACCGCCCCCAAGAAAGCGCTCGAGCTCTGCTAAAATTGCCACTGAATTTTTAGTCTGAAGGTTGAATCTTATTTAAAAACAGATGCAATAAAACACTCTTCCCTCATCGTTTTAGCGTTACCGTTTTGGTCAGATGGGTCTAGAAGTTTTCGCACGATTTCTGAAAGATGGGGGTGTTTTATGTAAGTGCTCCCGTGCCTGCTGTGGGCTACTTGAAGTAGCTCTGTTAAGGAATTAGTTGACACAATTTGAACCGTAACTTAGCACCTAACGTAGGTAGCCTCAAAATTGCGTTAGCTGGGGGTGCGGTACCCTTATGACACAGACTTGCAAAAATAGGGGGCACCTTGGTCCAATTTATACACGTAAGTGGCTGTGACAGCAAGGGGAAGCTTCTGACGGGGAATTTGGTGTGGAAATCTGTCTGTGGGACTTCCTTCCTCTGGCCTGTGAGGGTGAAATGCAGTTAACTAAACATGGATGTCTAGTTTTAAAAAAGAGAAGGGTACGCCAGCAGCTCCAAAGGGTTGCAGGTCTCCTGCAAGGCCGGGGTTGTATCTGCCAGCTATGTGCTAGCACCTTGGGGACCAACGTTTGGGCAGGGGAACCTTGTCTGTAGTTTCTGTGTTTTTGCTGTAGGCTTTTGGGTGCCCATAAAAGAGCTCTCTTTTATGCTATGAATTTAGATATCTCATTGTAGATGGCAAAACATCTATGTTTTCCATAGGGTTGCACAAACTCTATTCAACCACATAAATATAATTATCTAATGCCATTTGATGTATGCTGGTTTTCTGCCTAGCTTCTAGCTGCCAGGACAGGGCAGCATGAGTGTCATCCTGACCCCTCTCACCGGCATTGTACGGGCATCGGAGATGCCTTAGGCATCTAGTGCAGCTTGAGATGGATGGTACTGAGGCACCTGAGTCTAGTCCTGTGTGCCTGAAAGTCCTGCACAGGTGACAAGACACCCATAAAAACAAAATGACTAATTCTAAAGCAGTGAGAAAGGGGATGGCTATGCAGGGATGAGTGCGCAAGGGAATGAGACTTCGTGGTGCACCAAGCATGCTAGGAGCATCCTAACATTGCCAAATCCAAGTCTTCACCAACTATGCAATCATTTGAGCAGTGCCAGTCAATCCAAAGCTGCTAATGTAAATACTTGGCCGTTGGAAGCGCATCTCTTCAATTTCTTTCTCCTTTATGTGCATTCTTGGCTCAAACCCCACCTGGCAGCACCCCTTTGCTCTTGCTGAGCCTGTCCCTGGCCCTCTGTCATTACAAGTGGGCACTGTCCCTGGGAGGTGCCTATAGCTGGTTGGTGTTGGGAGCTGATTCCTGAGGTTGTGAGGGCGGTATCTTACCAGCAGCACGCACGGAGGCAATGTGAATTCAGCATCTCTCCAGTGGGCTGGTGCTTTTGTGCAGATGTGTGAAGGCAAATGAGAAGAGCTCATTGTGGGTGCTCTTATTCTGCTGCTAATAATGTTGCTATGGTGATGTTAACGAGAGTTTCATAAAGGCTGAACCACAGCTGTCGGGAAAGTCGGGGTCCTGTGTCTCCTGGCGTGGATTTGTTTGTACTTGCTGAGAAGCCAAGGAGCTGAATTTCCTTGCCTTTCTAGATTCAGCAATGGGAAGGTGGCTGCTCCAGGAGCCCTGGGCAAGTCTTCCTGGCAGCAGCACCTTTATTTTAAGTGTTGCTTTGACTTACAGAGGACTTGGCTCTGGAGTGTTTCACGCCTGAGAACGTTAATTGCAGGATCCGGGCCCTCTAAATAGGTTTCTGCAACATCACGTAGATGTGCCTTTAGTAGCTCAGAGGTGGTACAGCTCAGTGAACTGCTCTGTCTGAGCTGTTGAGCTCTGCTGAGATTTGGTATCTGTTAGTCCAGGCTCTGTGCTGCGCAGCCACAGCCAAGTTGCCAGGGTACCCAAATGTGTTTGCTCTCAGCCCAAGTGGCGCAGCACCATGCGTTTGGTGCACGGATGCATAAGCTATGCTAAATGCCTCCATCCTCTCCCCCTGGGGATGAACCCAGGCCAAGCCACGGAGAGCAGCTCCCATCCTTGATCTCAGGGCAGAGCAAGCTGCTCGGGTCCAGCACTGTATAGCGGTCTCTCCTTGGCGTCTCCTGGGCTTACTCTGTTGACCCTATGCCCTTAAAATGGTGATGTTCTGGGGAGGCGAAGGTGGTTTTTCCAGTTCGAATCATATGAAATCATGCAGGGGCTGTGTCACAGCCTGCCAGAATGTTTTTCTAGCAAGACCCCAAGGGTACATGTTGTAGCTCTGTTCAGTGGTTTGAAAATGCAGAGTTACGTGGAGCCAAACCTGATGCAGCCTAATCCATACTGCTTCCTGGGGTGGGACCTGGCATGGCCTGTCCCCAAAAGGCACTTACGCTTTGTTGTGGAGAAAACTGCCTGTCTTGCTGTGAAATCAAGCCGGGAGAGCAAGGGTGGTTGTGTGGATAGTTGGGGGCTGGAACCTGAGACTGACTGGGGCAGGGCAGGGCAGGTTATCCTTAGAGCCCAGCGCTGGAGCGTGTTACATGGAAGACAAGGGTGGTGGTACTTACAATCTGAAAATCATGAACTTCAACAGCCTCTTCACTCCCGCTTCCTGTTTTAAATGTCTCTAAGTTGTTTCCAGCATCTATTTCCATTGATCCATCTTGTACTTTTCCATTAATGCTCATAGTATAGTGAACATTGTACACCTGGAATTGACAGAAGAGCAGTAGCACACGTCAGTAATTGCTTATTGCCTTTCTCCTACACCAGGCGATGGGTCAACCTGACTGTCATATCCCTATTCAGCTCCGAACTTTTATGTCTCTAGGCATTTTGATAACCCTCCAACAACCAACACCACCTTACTGCAACACTTCACCGTTGGGACAGGCCGGCGGTGGAGCAGGTTGCCCAGAGAGGCTGTACAGGCTCCATCCTTGGAGGTTTTCAAGGCCCAACTGGATAAAGCCCTGAGCAACCTGCTCCGACCCCACAGCTGTCCCTGCTCTGAGCAGCAGGTCGGTCTAGGGACCTCCTGAGGTTCCTCCTCAGGGGCCGCACACAGATCTATTAGTACTGACAGTTTTACTTCAAAAGCAATGGGGGATGAGTCCACATCCAGGCTCGCTCTGACTTAAAAACCTTCTTGTAGGTCATATTTTAGGAATCGCTTCTTATGCTGGCATGATTCCCAAAGGAGAGCAGGAGCAAACATCCTACTCCAAAGGAGGCCAACCCCTATTTATCTCTTAGGATGTTCTGCTGAGGCACAGGAAAACGAGTTCCTCTTGAATATGAACATGTTTCTCAGCTTGTAATGGATGTGAACTTTGTTTAAATTGGATGTGAAGTTGTATAGACTCATATTTTCCTTGTCAGCGTATTTGCTCTTATTCTATTTTCAATGAGGAAAGCTGCAGCGTGGTTTGTATTTGCTGGAGGACCACAATCTTGCGGAGGGGGTTTTCGATGCTCTTGTGCAGTTCTGCGAAAAGTGCTGCACAAGCAGTTTACTTTTGGTCTTAAAAAAGCCTTACAGCATTTTAATGATAAATTTACACTGACAGCTAGAGACAAATTTCTTCTTCTCTCACCTTCGTTCAGGAAAGTCTAAGGTGCTAAAGATTTATGGTTCCTCAGTTATACAGATTCGGTCCCATATTTTCCACTGTCTAGGACTCCTGTTGAACGTGGTCCATAAAACCAGACCAAAGTACGTGATCTCCCCTGCTAGGGGCTGAGCTAGCGGTAAGACTGTTAACCCTGTCAGTTATGGGAGAATGTAAAGATTTAAAATAAAAATAATAATTTTAAAATTGCCTTATTATTTTTTTTTATGAATGACCCTAAATATATTTTTTTATAGTTGCTTCCTAAACACTTGGAAGAAAAATGTAGCTTTGGCAGCTTGGAAAAATAACTCTAAGCTTTCCTAATGCCTTCACCTGGAGATCAGCTTTGAAGCTTAATGACAGCTATGAATGTGACACATTTTGCAAAGCAGAATTTAGATGATGGGAGCAATAAAAAACGGGGAAACTTTGTCCTGTACTGTGCAAATGCACCCAGCCGGTCGGGGCTGCACGGGCCGTACCCCCTCCCTGCCTACCTCCCCATTCGGGTCCCTCTCCCTTTTCAAAAGCCTGGAGAAGCAGATGGCTCTTACAGCCCATCCTGGAGGTCAGCAACATGTCCTTTTTGGTATAAAACCTTGTACTTTCTTTCTGATTATCTGAATTATCCCTACGTGCATGGGTGTATCTCACAGGGGGACCTCTGCTCTGGCTGCTGGGATTCGCACAAGGCTCTCCTTGACGGGGACGGGCGCGTGGCTGGAGGCGGTACAAAACGTCTTCCAAAGTAAATTCAGAGATACTGTTTGCACTTATGCAGTAAGTTACATTCAGATGTGCACCATCATGTTTCAAAATATGTTTTAGACCAAAATCTTATGTAAACAGAAAGAAAAGTTAATCTGTAAACATGTTCTAATGCCCTGAAGTTTTGTTCTTAAACTGATCAGCAGCTTCTCAGTTTTGTTTTTTGCATGCAGGATTTTTCATGTACCCCAGGAAATGTAAATAATAAAACTTATACGACTTTAAAAATTTTTCCACAGCTGCTAACCATGAATGCCTATGTGTATGCACAACCATACAAACCACCAGAGTGAAATAATGGTGCCTATTAATGGGTTAAATATAGCATTACATATTTGAGGGTCCAGGTAGAATCTGGACCAAGAATGCGGATGATGTGAAGAAGGAATTTACACATTTCAATGCTTTTTTTGTCCTGGGAGCTGGAGTTTGCCCAGGATGTGAAGCCCAGGGGACTTGTTGGGGTTTAAGTTTGCTGAGGATTTGCGAGCAGAAATCAATGTAGCGTCTGTGCTCTCAAAGATACGTTTCATGTTCATTAAGAAATGTGCTTCCAGGAGGCTCCATCCAAGCAGCCAGTAAAGATAATGATTATGGGTTTGGTTTTTTAGGTGTTTTTTTTCTTTTTTTTAAACATGGAGAAAATAAAGATCTGCTTAAGGACCTCTTCATCGACCTCGCAAGAAAAATTTCCAGCCTGTGCCTCCCCTGACATGAAACCAGCTCAAAAAGAAAGAAACCCTGCTCGATGTGAGGATGTGCTTCCCGGCCCGCTCACCTGCCGCTCGGTGGCTTTCCAGAAGTAGAAGGCGCCGATGGAGGGACCCCAGCCCGCCAGGGACACCCCGGCCCGCCAGGGACCCCGGCCCCCCAGGGACCCCCGCCCTGGGACGCCCGTTCGGGCCCCTGCCCGACCCCCCGTTCCGCCGCGTCCCGGTCCCGACCCGTCCTGATCCCACCCGATTACGATCCGTTCGGTCCTGATCCGATCCCACCCGACCCGTTTTGTCCCGATCTGCTCCGTCCCATCCCGTCCCGTCCCGTCCCATCCCATCCCATCCCATCCGGTCCCGTTCCGTCCCGACCTATTCGGTCCCGATTCGACCCGTCCCGTCCCGACCCGACCTGTTCGCTCCCGATCCGTCCCGTCCCGTCCCGCCCGGGGCCGCCCGGCAGCACTCACGGGGGGCAGGCACTGCTCCACATCGTCGGGCCCCGCTCGGGCGATGGGCACCTTCTCGGAGCCCTCTGCCATGGC